ACTTAGATAATGAAAAGTAGGAGTACGTGTAGTTGTGTACTATTTGGATTAAACTGAAAAATTAAATCCACTTCAAATTTGGATTAGTTTTTTGGATTTTTGATTTGGTTTTGGATTTATAATTTACTTTGCTTGATTTTTTAATCTGATTTTGAATTTAGAGAAATGAAAATTGAAAAACCAAAATAACCGAATTATTTATATATATATATATATATATATATATAAATGTGTTTAAAATTGAGTTGAAGTTAATCATTTTTGTCTCTTTTTAATTATTTTCATTATGATTTAGTTTATGCTCTTATGTTTGAACATTTATAATTGATATACTTTTAAGTATTGTGTTTTACGTTTGATGAAATACATAATTATCTTATGGAACTTATACCTTTTTTTCAAGTAGACACCTTAAGTTTGCGGGGGTCCAATTATCCCACGAAACCATTCAAAAGCATAATAAATATATCATTCTGACCCGTTTTAAACCCATTAGTGCTCTCACGCAGGTTGGGCGGTTCAACAAGGAAAAAAAAACATCCAACCAATTATTAAACGCCATTTGATATTGCCAATTTGAATTACTTCCTTCATTAAATAAATTCGCTCATTTCCCAAAATTCTATATTGTTAGCCGTTCAAGATTGCAATTTATCTTTTTTTTTAAAAAAATATGTGAAAAATCAATTTCCTGTGATTAGGTTTTGAGGGACGGATGTCAAATGCAAGCTTGAATCGCATTTGTAATGATGAGAACAATTCAATGTTGTTTTTAACAATGCGATACAAACATGGAGACTTGATGCAATTGCAGATTTTGTGGTCTGAGGACAACCCAGCTAAAAGATTTTGGTCCTGTTCATGCTTTCGTGTAAGTTCAATACATATTTCTTTACTTTTTTTTTGTTCAATGTCTCAATAAATTCATTATGTATGGCCTATTTTAGGAAAATTATGCAAGTACATTAGATGGAGGAATCATGAGGAGATTGACATGCGATCCAAGTCCGTTATTTCAAGATTGGCGAATAGAATTAAGGAATTGAAAGAAGCATTACAATTCTGTAAGATTAAAGAAAAGAAGATGAAATTGTTGTAGAAGAAAAGTGATCAAGTATGTCATGATAAGCTAATCAAGAAGAAGAAGATGATGAAATGTAGCATCTTGAATTAGAAGCTTATCATAGTGTTTGTCGTAGTATATTTTTTAGGAATTAATAAAAATGTTAACTTTTTGGGTTTCTTCATTTTAGTCGAATACTGTTGTGGGTTTCCCATCGAGTTTTTTTTACATCATTGCATTAACTTTTTGAAATTATTTTCATTTATAGTGTGAAAATTTAAAGATCTGCAACTACTTATGCCAGAATTTGAACTATCGATGTGTCTTCTTAGCAAATTCAAGGATCTGGAACTACTTATACCAGAATTTGAATTACGGGTATATTCGTTGATGGTTTCTTATGCCCTTTATTTTGATTTTGCTCTTTGTCCTACATTAGATACCTCTATGAGCTTTCTTGCTATTATTAAGGATATTTTGGACTTTCTATTTTCAACAAGGTGTTTGTATTTGAAGTATATATTGCATACTTGTATGGGTCTTAAAATTATGAAAATATGTGCCAATAAAGTATATTTTAAACCAAATAAATATACATATTTAAAGTATCTAATATATTTGGTTGTATAATTATACAATATTAGTTTGCATAGCTATAATTTTGAAAATTTTGGATAAATAAAATTTTCAGAATTTTAATTTTAATTTAGTGAAGTTATTCGAGGGGAAGTGGGAGATTTTAGGAGATAGATTTGCGAGTGCCATGGTCCAAAAATAGACGTGATGACATTTGTTTATTCCCACCAGACAAGTTAATCTCAACCAACAAAATCGACAGAAATGTGTAAATATAGAACAAGAACAAGATAGAGCAGAAAAACTTATTCTTTCTATTAGAATCACCAAAGTTTGATCGTCACATGTACAAGCCACTAAATACATAAAAAGCAAAAGTAAGAATAAGTACAAATCTCGGTCTTTGTTTCTTAAATAGAACAAAGTATAAAGAAAAGGATAAAGAGGGGCCGCCAAAGTGACAAGCAACCACCTCTTCAAATCCTTGGCAAACCTCAAAATGAGAAGGAGAAAGAGATCACATAGGTTCGGGCTCTGAACCTACACGAGTGTAGAAGAAAGGAGTAATTACCAAGAATACAGTCCTTAGTAAGCAACCTAATAAACAAGACACCTAGCTAGAAATAGAGCACCCTTTACTCTCCAACATAACCTCCTCAAACTACAATCTGCACAAAAATCAGCCCAACCAACAATTCTATAATACACGATTCACAAGGTCCAATATTCATAGTTCAATAATCACTTATCAACAATCAAACAATCAAGTACGTTAATCTCAATGCCAAGTAAATTAGTCACAGGCAACATGTATATCAATCACAATTGACAAACAAGTCGCACATAAGCATCAAAATGCACCAACTCCACAATTTAATCAATCTCTCACATGAATCATTTCCCGTCAACACAATATCATTAGCCAAAATTATTTTCCATTGACTTTATATCAAGTTACTAGCCTGAACAATATCCAATCAGCTTTATCAACCTATTAGCTGGAATCATTTTCCATCGACTTTATATCACTTACAGGCAATGACTTCGGCATTATAAACACTTGCCAGAAATGACCTTGGAAAAGTTAGGGTTATCAAAGCCTCTGACATGCAATTGAAGAGGTAAAATCGCTAGGATTCAGTATTTGTATCAAAATGAGCTTCGTAGTTTAAGAGCAAATAAAGTGCAAAATTGCAATTGATAAGTATACATAAAAATGAGAAATATTTCATCAAAGAGCATATATCGAGTGATAATATTGTCCAAAGACCTAGAAAATAGCTGAATTCAATTCCAAATAACTACATTTAGTATGTACTATAATTTTAAAACCTTCGTGGCCCTCCGGTTTCCTTAAACAACCACATATCACCAAACAAAATGGACCTAATATTGGCAAAAGCTGAGTTTATTTGAAGTTGACTGACTACCTGTAAATTTAACAATGCAGTTTTAGAATATTCCATATTAGGATGAGTGACTACTTTCTTAAGCTAAATTTCTAATTATATATATATATATATATATATATATATATATATATATG